ATTTATTTATTTATTTATTTATTTATTATTTTTTTAAAGTGTATCTTATTGATTATGCTATTACAGTTGTTGCATTTCTCCCTTCACTCCCCTCCACCCTGTACACCCTCTGCCATCCACAATCCCCCCTTTAGTTCATGTCTATGTGTCATACTTTTAAGTTCTTTAGCTTTTACATTTCTCGTTCTATTCTTACCCTCCCCCTATCTATTTTCAACCTACAATCTATGCTACTTATTCTCTGTACCTTTTCCCCCTCTCTCCTCCTCCCACTCCCCTGTTGCTAACCCTCCATGTGATCCCCATTTCTGTGGTTCTGTTGCTGTTCTAGTTGTTTGCTTATTTTCTTTTGGTTTTGCTTTAGGTGTGGTTGTTAATAATTGTGAGTTTGCTGTTCTTTTACTATACATTTTTTTTATCTTCTTAGATAAGTCCCTTTAACATTTCTAAAATAAGGGCTTGGTGATGATGAACTCCTTTAACTTGACCTTATCTGAGAAGCACTTTATCTGCCCTTCCATTCTAAATGAAAGCTTTGCTGGATAGAGCAATCTGGGATGTAGGTACTTGCCTTGGTAATGACTTGGAATACTTCTTTCTAGCCCCTTCTTGCCTGTAAGGTCTCTTTTGAGAAATCAGCTGACAGTCTGATGGGAACTCCTTTGTAGGTTACTGTCCCCTTATCTCTTGCTGCTTCTAGGATTCTCTTTTTCATTTTTACCTTGGCTAATGTAATTATGATGTGCCTTGGTGTGTTTCTTCTTGGGTCCAACTTCTTTGGGACTCTCTGAGCTTCCTGGACTTCCTGGAAGTCTATTTCCTTTGCCAGAATGGGGAAGTTCTCCTTTATTATTTGCTCAAATATGTTTTCAATCTGTTGCTCTTCCTCTTCCCCTTCTGGTACCCCTATAATTCGAATGTTGGAATGTTTAAAGATGTCCTGGAGGTTCCTAAGCTTCTCATTTTTTTTGAATTCTTATTTCTCCATTCTTTCCTGTTTGGTTGTTTCTTTCTTCCTTCTGGTCCACTCTATTGTTTTGAGTCCCAGTTTCCTTCCCATCACTATTGGTTCCCTGTGCATTTTCCTTCATTTCTTTTATTGTAACTTGCATTTGTTCATCTAATTTGTGACCAAAATCAACCAATTCTGTGAGCTTCCTGATCACCAGTGTTTTGAAATGTGCATCTGATAGGTTGGCTATCTCTTGGTCGCTTAAAAGGATGAGTTCTGGGGCATTGATTTGTTCTTCTGTTTGAGCCATCTCTCTCTCTCTCTTTTTTTTTTGGGGGGGAGGGTCTGGTCGCTCCTGTTACAGTGAGGGGTGGAGCCTTAGGTGTTCACCAGGGCTGGGCACCCCAGTCCCTAGATTGTGACGTTGTATGTGGGGGCGGGGTAGAGAGGGAACAATGGCAGTTGCTCTGTTCTCTGTGGGATCTCAGTTCCTTCTCTGGGATCTTGGGTTGTGCACTCTGCCCTGCTCCACAATCGCTGCCTCACTGGGTCTGCCAGCTGCCACTTGAGTATTCAGGGTCCACCTGCTGCGATCTTGCATTCCTCAGATGCCTTATGCACCCCCAGATGCCTTATGCGCCCAACTCTCTCTGCTCTCCGTGCTGTGACCTGTGCCTGGCTGCTCATCTCTGCCCCTCCTACTGGTCTGGAGGAACGGGTCTATTTCAACTTCTTGGCTGTCCGACTTCCATTCAGATAAATTTTCTGTCAGTTCTGGATGTTATTCTGCCTCTAAATTGTTGTTCCAATCTTGGTTGTGCATGGAGGTATGGTGCGTCCACCTATGCCTCCATCTTGGCCGGAAGTTCGAACCAAAGTTCTTAACAATCAGTGTTCTGCTTGGTGTTGGACCAGGTGTACTCTGCGACTTACGTATCCCATAGCTGTGGTGAAAGCTTCCTTCTCTCCCAGCTGGCTGAGGAAAATGTTTCTCCTGGGCCACTGAAAAAGCCTGCAAAAGGAAGATCTAGATTCCCCATAGATGGGCAACTGTACAAGGTGCTGGTAGGGGGAAGTGGGTGCGAGGGAGGCTGAGGGTGGTGGATGGGAGCAGATGCTCTACTGTCTGGCTCTGGAGGCCAGGGCTCACTTTTGTAGTCATAAAAGGTGACCATAAACTTTTTCTTGAAAACTCAAGTGCAGACCCACAGGCCACTTGCAGACTCTATAGATAGATGGTGGTGGGTTTGAGGTCACAGGGGGGAGGGCTCTCTACAAGACTCTCTGACTTCAAAACACATGCCCTGGGCCAATGGCTGTTGAACTGATCCTTGCTCTCCTTCTGTCCTCTGGCTACTTTCAGATGCTATTGTTACAGAGCAACGGGGGGGCTGGGACAATATACTATTACCCAAAGGAAACCCTCCAGGTTCGTTATGTCTTCCACCAGAGGAAAGACATCTCTCAATGCCAGAGATTTGTGAAAAGGAAAGGAAATGTTTATTTAATGCTATACAGACTTAGAGTAGTAACCTAATGTCTTCATCAAAATCCCAAAGCCCCTTAAAACACCCACAAACACACAGTCCTTCCTTCCCCCTTTGCCCAGTCGGGTATCATATCTCAGGAAAAGAAATAGAAGTCCGTGGCTCAGGCAGCCCCCGGTTCTTCTCAGTATTCTGTCTCGGCTGGTAGGTCTCCCTTGGTTCCCGGCACCATCAGCTGTGTCCCGGGATCTCTGCTAAAGCCAGGTGGTGGTTCCCCCTTCTAAAGCTGCGGGGGTCCCCACTCTGGCAAAGCTGAGTGGCTCTCTCTCCACTGCCTCAGCCGTGTGGTCCTCTCTGCACAAGGGCCAAGGGAGTCTCCACTCTGCCAAAACCGCATGGTTCTACATGTCCACAGCTGTGTGGCTCTCTCTGCAGAATGGCTGTGGGAGTCTCCACTCTCACATCCTTCCAGCTTTACTGGGCTGCCATCCTGAGTCTGGGCAGGTGTGGCCCCATGTCATGGAGCCAATCTTCTCCAAGCTCCCATGCAGGTGCTGTAACTTGGGGGACCTGCCCCCCAGTTATATCTTGGTGGGGAATTTACTTCCATTCCCCTGGCTCAGAGCATGGCCACAGCTATTTAACATATCTATGAAGCCAGTTAAAGGTTATAGATATGTTAAATGACCACACCAGAGGTTAGCTGCAAAAGCTGTTGCTATGCAAAACAGCTCTCAAAGGCCCTACTCCATTTGTCCCTTCCCCCAACCCACACCTGTGGAGGGGTGGTAAGGACATCCTAATATTTCCTGGACATCCTGAGTTCTGGACCCCATTTCAAATCCCTATTTGGGGTCCCCCTCTTGGCTGCATCCTGTTACACTATGATTCCAAGATTATGTTCTCCAAGTAATAATTGCTAATTTCTCTTGCCAAGATAACAGCTGCTTCCCATCACTTTATCAGCAAACTTGACACATCTATAAGTTCATTAAAATCTTTCAAATGTTGACAGTACTACAGATGTCCCCTATTTCCCCCCTTAACCTTCCTCCACCAAGACCCACCCCTGGCCTTTAACACATTGTCATCTGCATTGATGGGCTAGTCATTAAAATCTTTGTAAAATTAAAAAAATATATTGATTTTAGAGAGAAACAAAACACAACATCAGTTTCTTGTATGTGCCCTGACCATGGATCAAACCCACAACCGTGGCTTATCAGAACCAAGTGAGCTACCTGCCCAGGGCTCTCATTAAAATCTTTAATAGAATGTAGCTAATTAAAGAGTTAAGTCATACAGTATTCTGAATTTGAAAATTAAGTAAGCCTAAGTCCCTAAGTACAGTATGGGTCATACTAATTTTAAGTTTTGGTTATTCTTGACTTTACATGTTCACATGAATTTTAGAATAAGTTTGAATACTATCATAAGTCCTGTTGAGATTTTAAAAATAGGGTTGAATTCTTTACAATATTAAGTCTTCTCATTCATAACCAGAATATTGTTCTCTATTATTTTTTAATGTCCTATAAAATTTTATCTTCTCCAACAGGATTAGGAAATGTTAGACCTTTGTCCAGGTAACATTTCTTAAAAATTGCTATTGTGAGTGGATTCCATTTTCCTCCCATAACATTTCTCAATTAAATATTGCTATTATGTCTTTGTATATTAATTCTGTATTCAGTCAGTCACCTTTTTGAACTTTCTTCACTGGTTCTGATAGGTTGTCAGTTAATTTGTCTTTGATCTTCTAGGTAGAGCATCTAATAAATATTAAGATTTATTCTCACTTTCCAATATATGTATATCTCATTACTTTTTGTGTGTCTTATTGCACTGGCTGGGACCTCCAAGAACATTGCTGAACAGAATTAGTAAAGGGTGTTTCTGTTTGATCCCTGAGAAGAATGTGTTTAGTATTTTACCCTTGTGTATGACGTCTGCTTACCTTTTAATAAGTTCAGAAATTTGTAGGTTGATAGGTTATTTATGTTTCCAGTAAAAAAATAGTATGGAAACCAAGACTTCCTCCAGTTTAAAATGATTCCTCTTGAGGAAGTTACCTGTCTTACTTTGGTATCCAGGAAGATCAGAGCGAACCCGTGTGTGACAACCACACACCACATAGGCTGCTTGCTCGTCTATGTCACACTGGCATCATTCCTTCCCAACCCTGCACCTGTGTGGATTTGTATCTTCCTAGATATTTCCCCCTAAATCATTTTACTGCATGAATTTCCTGTCAATTTCCACAAATCTTTAATAGAATGAGATGGCATGTAAATAAAAACTTAAAAAGATGTGGCTACATTTGGATTTAAAATTAAGAATGAGAGAAATAGGATACGGGCAAGAAGATATTATGAGACCTTTTCAACAACAAACTCATTAGTTATCATGAGCTCACGTGGAGACCTAACACTATGCTTAATAAGTCTCTTGGGGGGCCATATGAATCAAGTCTCAGACAGCATCTGGAGTTAGTTAAAATGAATTCTGTGGGGCCTCAGGAATCTGGTCCAGAGTAAATCCAGCAGTTAAATGAGGCCTGCTTATACTTAACATTGTTAAGCTTTATTGCTTGTCATAAGTAGCCATTGGTAAACACATTTTAATTTCATACAATGAAGAGAATTCAGGAGCCATTAACATCTTCAGCAATAGGTACTTAATAAAAGTGTGTTGAATGTACTGCTCCAGGCCATTTCAAATCCTTTTTAGAAGGCATCATGAAAAAATGATTATACATATCTCATAGTTGAGGGATCAAACTAAAAATATTTCTCTCAATGCAAGTGTAAATAAGACCCATACTTTATGATTTTATTGTCTTTGGCAGGCCTTGTACTATGACATCTGTGTTTCTGTCGTTTAAACAGAAAGCTCCCTTTCCTCTCCTTTAGGACTCTGAGGGCAGAAGACTGACAGAACAGGACCTCAGGACACACATGGGTCATGCTATCCACACAGGCTGCACCGCAGTTCCCAATACAGTCGCTACTGCCCCACAGCTGTGTGTTCACAAAGACAGGTTTTTAGCTGAGTTAGATATATGAACATAGGTAACGTGAAAAGTTGATCTTAAGATAACTTGAAAAACATGTAGTAAAAAGAGGAATAAAATCCACAAATCACAAAGATTTTGCTAATAGGCAAACTGTGAGTCCATCTAAATGTGGCATATCCAATCTGCTTAACTGATTTATTTATTATGGTATTTTAAAAAATGCCATTGAAGGACAAATGACACACTTTTGCTCTTGACAAAGGTGGCAAGTGTGATATTATTATGGCTTAGAAAGCAAAATATAATTCCTGGGTGTATTATTGTTCTGGCTCATCCAAGTTAAAAACATATGTGATGTTCTTCCGTGTCCAGTGAGGTCAGGCAAATGTGACAGAAGGTGAGCTGGGGAGACACACATCTTCATCATACAAATTCTCGGGTAGCTCCTCTTCATCTCCGTCAGGGAAATACGTGGGGAATGGTAGATTTTTACCGAAATCCTTATATGCAGGTAGTTTAGAATCTCTGATCTGGGGGAAGGAAGCAAAGATTTTATTAAAAGTGCTACCAATGAAGTTATTTAAAGATAACCTGTTTTACTTATTATTCATAATCAAGGAATATTGGTTCTTATATTTTCTAATGTGAATAACGCAACTGTTACAATGTAAAAGGAACTCAATGTATTCTTTTTACTTATAAATTAATCCAATGATAGAAATATAATCTTCTAAGTTAATCAGCTACCTCCTAAGAAAATTACTGATTATTAATTTATATGTTATCCATAACTTATAAATCTTTAGAATGGCCCAACAGGACAAATTATAGTCTATTAATTACTAGTTAAATAAGTTATATCCAAATGACTTTTCAAATATAAAGATCTGATATAAACTACCTAAATACCTAAAAGGTATTACTATCTACTTTTCAATTATGATTTTCTATTCATATTCTCTATTTTTATTTTAGACCACAGATTTTTTAGCTGAAATTAAAAATAGTTTACCTAGTATTTTTATTAGTCTTAATTCTAAAGCACATAATCAAAAATATCATTAAGGAAATTAGTTTACATTTAATAAGTAGCATTCTCATTTAAAAGCTAAGGACAGAATGGTATTCAGAAAAAAAAACCCTCATAAGTTTATATCTCTATTAACTCTTTGTATTCTAAAAATATTCTATCTGTGAACTCATAACCAAGGAATAGTCCAGATATTGATACAATCTAAAAGGCTAGGTTTTATTTTTAGAAAATATCTTTGGGCTCTTTAAAGCTTCTGACTTATTCTATCTACAGCAGGGGTGTCAAACTCATTTTCACCGGGGGCCACACCAGTCTCATGGTTGCCTTCAAAGGGCTGAATGTAATTTTAGGACTGTGTACATGTAACTACTCCTTAACAGTTAAGCGAGAGCTTGGCACTGCTGCCAGGTAGAAACAAGGTGCTGGGCCGGATAAAACAAGGTGGAGGGCCAGATTTGGCCTTGTATTTGCCGCATGTGTTCTACAGTCTTCAGAGAGGAGTAAAAAAGTTACATATGATTAATTATATTCAGAGTAAAATAAGTCAATCATTTTGGGAATAATCATTTTGGCTGAAATAAGTACACAGCTGCTAGGAATAGCTAAGTACAGAAAAACATATCTATTTTAATTTCTCTCATTAAAACTATTCCAAAAAACTATTGGTAAGTTTCCCAGAAAAAAAAACAACTTATTTTTTCCCCAACTAATCTTGGGCTGAACTTTAACTTGGGAAAAAGTCATATTCTTAGCAATTTAAACTGTGTCAGAATTTAGAACTGAAAATAAAACTGAATAAACATTAAAACCAACAATAAAATTTCCTGTGCTAATTTGATAAATGTAAACATTTGCTCCTAAATGACCTAAACAGTGAATTCTCAGTTACTTTTATACTTTTCTAAACTTAATCATATCTGAGGAACATTTCAGACCAATGCACTGCTTAAATACTCCAGCTGTCTAAGTGTTACTGTGCTGCAGTTCATGGATTTGAGACACAAGTCATGACTGTGTCTCTAGAACGGGGGTCAAAGTGTGCAGCCTGCCTCACAGCATGCAAGACCTCATGGTTGTGTGTTTGTGCACTTAACTGCATCCCCGAGTCCCCAGACCCCTCAACTATCTGCCTCATTCTTTATATGTGTATGTGTATGTGTATGTGTATGTGTATTGGCAAATCAGTTCAAATCCTTGAGGAAAGGTGGAGGTTAGGACACACACAAAAACAAGCTCACTTGAAAATCAACTTACATTAGAAATTAGGATATAGCAGTGAGCACACACGGCATAAGCTACATTATGCTGTGAACAGTTTCTTTACCCCTCTTGATACCCTTAGTGAATCCGAGTAACAACAAAAGCTTACTACAGTAGTTAAACAGGTCGGTCATTCCTAGGACTATGGCTACTAATTTTAGAATTACAAACATGTTATTGGTGGCCCCCACTCCAAGAGGGTCAAAGCTCCTGTGGGGTGAGTGGATGTTGAAGAGGCTGCCCGTCCTGCAGGAAGTGCCTCCTTCTCCCTGGGCACGGGACTCCTCACCTGCTGTGCAACCAGCCGCCTGGAGGAATGGGGAAAGTGGGCTGGATGACTGCAAAGGTGTGTCCGACTTTTAACGTTTAAAACGCAAGCCCACAAAATACCCCATTCAAACCTACACCTTAATGCTTGGGGGCAGACATTTAAGGTTACAAAACAGAAGCTGTTTAGGTACCATAATTCAAAGACTTTTCTTCCAAGATGAGTATTTTTTTTAACCAAAATATGTTTGATGAAAATATATTAACAGTTCAAAGTGGACTAGACATTTCTCTGCTGCTATAGTTTTTAAAACATATTTGGACTCCCCTTTGGCCTGGCCTCTCGGGCACCTTCTGACTGCCTTCAGCGACAGCAGGCGATCATCCAGTAAGAGAGCTGATCCAGTTTTTGAAAGCAATCTTTCATTAAAGTGGATGAAAAGCTGAGTAATAAATGTTATTGATTATAAACTGTTCATTAACAGCCAGATCAGAAAATCACTGCATATAGTATGGTTTTTCAAGCCAGCTGATCAATTCACCCTGCTGGTGTCAACCCATGAGGTGGAGCCTGAGAAGCCGCAGCAGCGGCAGCAAGGCCAGCGGAACGCCCACCGAGACTCGTGTGCAGCAAGCGGGTACGCACAGGGTTCTACAGGCGGCTGGTAGGACAGTAATATGGGTGTGACAATTTATAGCTCCAATTTGAACAGTTCACCCACAATGTCATATGGTGTGCTGGACTGTGGTATAGTTATGTTACAGATTATATGCTTATGATTTTGTAATAAATGATTTTGTGATAAAAAAGGGGCGTTACTTGTACGGACCCTGTAAAGCTCTGACAACACAAGAAATTCTCCTGCTATCCAGGATAGTTGTATTCTGGAAAGTAATCACTTTCCTTTATTCTGTTCTATCAGGATGTGATAAGCACAACATGCAATAAACCTGGAGAGTGGAGGTAGGAATACACTGCATTTTGAAGCCCAAATGTTTTATGAGGAGAAGCACGATGACAACCTGCTGGCTTCAATGGCCTGTCCTTGTAGTCAGTCAGAGAATGGGTCACTTGGAGACTGGAAACCTACTTAAGCCTAAACACCTGCCACCTTTAAAAAAAAGAGATCTTGCTAATATTCATCAAATACATTTTTTAAAGTAAAATGAGAATAATCTAGTCAAAATAGTGGCAGCAAAGGAACTTTAATTACTGTAAGATTAAAACAAATATTGTACCTTATGCTAATAATAGAACCTACTTTAAGAAATACAAAACATACATAGAAAGAGACCCAATATGAAAAGTCTCAGGTTTAGCCCTGGCTGGTGTGGCTCAGTGCATTGAGCGCCAGCCTGTGAATCAAGGGGTCACTGGTTTGACTTCGAGTCAGGGCACATGCCTGGGTTGTGGGCCAGGTCCCAGGTAAGGGGTGCTCAGGAGGCAGCCACACATTGATGTTTCTCTCCTTCTCTCCCCTCCCCCTCTCTAAATAAATAAAATCTTAAAAAATAAAAGCTCAGGGTTAAGTTTCAACCTATTTTATGTTGTTATTGTTGGGAAATTAATAAAGAATATATTTGTAGGAATAGCTATTACTACTTCTATTATTATACAAATTTATTCTCAGAATGATTGATTCAAAATTTGATTTTTTTACTTTGTATTACATCAGTTTAAGCCCAGGCAGAGTACGTAATTTGTATTTTATTTGATAGAAACAAGTCTCTGACAGCACAAGTTCTTCTTCACATCTATCCTGTGCAACATGTTTGTTTTCTTCTTTTTACTTTGTTTTTGAACATAAAAATGAACATGCATGTTTTCAGGAAAAATACTTAAAAGTACAATCAAAGCAATGGTGGTAATAACAATAACAAGATTTCTCCTTAAAGTGTCTACCTTCAATCACTTTTCTTCTTGACTTTCTCATTTAATTTCCACCTCCTGCATTACTCATATTTTGGCAACAGTATCCTAATCTCCTTTCCATATGTCTAAAGAGCCTCTGTTTACTGGCCCTACCCTTTTTGCAGGCTCATCATTTTATAGACATATACTATAGGTTATTTTGTGCAATTTTTTAACTCAGGCTAAAAAGCAAAAAAAAACCCCCAAAACCAAAAAACACACACAAAAAAAACAAAAACAAAAAACCCATAAAAAAAACAACAACAGAGAACTCATGGAAAAACAGCCACTAATTTTCAAGCTACATCATTTATAGGTTAGAGAATTTTATTCACATCCACATACATGAACAATGGAAAATAAAGACAGCGAAACATACCTTTACTAAGCAATTTCTATGTCCAGGTACAGAGCCATTTACGTAGATTATATTGTGTTTTGTGTTTATTCTCCAAACCTAAAGCAAGAAATAAAATCAAACTTTAAAAGTTAAAAATTTGAGAATATATAACACACAGTTCATGCATTCTCTACCCCTCAATAACTGTAAAATCTATTAGAACCAATCATTAAATTGAACAAACAATAATTAAACACACATTAAATACATAATCTTGTGTCTTTGCATTTAGGCATTAATTTGATTGCTCCTAAAAAGAGCCACTTCAGAAACTTACTTTCAGTCCAAATTCTGTCCTATCGATGTTTCCCATTTGTCCAGGCATTTTAGTTCCAGGCCAGACTCTGGCAACATCCTGAATGAGAGAACCAAAATTAGCACTTTTAAGTACTCTCAGTTTCAAACAGTTCTGATCAAAACAAAACATAAACAAGATAGGAGTTATCAAAATGTTTCATTTTCCCTCCATTCTGCTAGGGCCCAGTAAAGAATTAAATACAGATTTAGGCACATTCACCCCAGTAAGAGTAATCTAAGATTAGAGCAACAAAATAAATACAGACTAAGAACGGATTTAGGGGAAAAACTCAAGTAACGAGAGAGTAGCAGCTGTGCTAATACTGGTTGAGAATGTTAAAGGATATACAAACACATCACACCACCAGAGAAGCATGAACTGCCTGGCCCACCTGCACTAACCTTCTGCGCTGACGGACTTAATGGGCCCCATCCGCACGACTGCTGCTGAAATGGCCCGACTCCCCACCCTCACTATTGTTGTCCCCCACAGCACCAGAGCGATTACAGGACAGGGTTACCAGATACTGAGTTTGTTTCTCCAGTCCTGGTTGTCTCTGACTCGCATAAATCAAACAGCTTCCACACAGTCTGATTCTGGCTTTGATAACGAATAGTAATTTTACATCTAAAGAAGCAAATCTGAATTACATCTAAAATCAGAAAGGCCCTCATAATACTTGAATTCAAAAACTTTTGCATCGCTACTCTCACAATGACAGGCAAACGTCCAGTGAAGTAGCTCATATTAGGAGATAATCCATAGCTTATAAGATAATTCTGAATATTACAGATAGTGTATCACTCTTATTGATTCTATATTTATTCTATATCACAGCAAAGTTTAATATGTTCTGTGATAAGCCCCTTGCTTAACATTACATTACTAAAAAAAGACTCTGCCCTCCCCAATAAATTCACTCTCATTAAAATCATACCCCAATTCTTAGGATTTTAAAGGCATTCACTAGCTAATCCTTACTGAAAGGACTATTTACAAACACACAACAGTATATTTCATAACAAATAACTAACTTGAATTATAAGAATGGGTTCTTCTACATGCCTCATTTTCAAAAGAACTTTATTGATAAAATTCACATAACACATATTTCACCCTTTTAAAGGGTACACTTTAATGTTTTTAGTATATTCAGAAAGCTGTGTATTACCACAATCAATTGTAGAACATTTTCCCACATCCTTGCCAACATTTATTATTATCTGCCTTTTTAATTATAGACATCTCACTGTGGTTTTGATTTACATTTCTGTAATGGCTAAATATGTTAAGCATCTTTTCATGTGCTTATTGGACATTTGTATATCTTTTTTGGGGAAGCAAAGTCCTTTGCCTACATTTAATTGGGTTATTTTTTACTACTGAGTTGTACAAGTTCCTCCTTTTTGTTTCCTTGATGGAACTGTGAGCAGCACAAAGTTAAAGTTTTGATGAAGTCTAATTTATCTACATCTTCTTTTGTTACTTGTATTTTTGGTGTCATATATAAAGTTTTGCCATACCAAGGGTCATAAAGGTTTATTCCTACATTTTCTAAAAAGAGGTCTTAAGCTCTAAAGTTTACATTTATGATCTACCTCATTTTATAACTTTTTATTTTATGTAATTTTATATTTATAAAAAATTGCAAAAGTAACACAAAAAGCTCCCGTACTCTTTACCCCCATGTAGCGATTGTTTACACGTCGCCCATCTGCTTCACCATTCACTCTCCCTACGTACGCACAGCCTCTGCGTCAGCTAGAATGTGGCAGCAGACACGTTGTTCCTCTACCTGTAAGTATTTCAGGGTCTATTTCCTAAGAAGTAGGATATTGTCTTACATAACCACAGTACAATTTTAGAACTCAGAATTAAAACATTATCATCTAATCCATAGTCCACATTCTAATTTTGTCAAGTGCCCCAACAAGTTCTTTGTAACAATTTCCTCACAAGTCCAGGACCCACTTCAGAATCACACATTGCACTTGTCATGTCTCTTTAGTCCCCTTAGATCTGGAGCAGCCACTGCATTTCATGACCTTGACAAAATGTCAGGTCATGTCAAAACTTGACCATTTTGAAGGCTACAATCCAGCTATTTTGTAGAATATCACTTGTTTTGGGCTTGTCTGATGTTTTCCTGTGATTAGATGCATTTTCAATAGGAATCACTACAGAAGTGACGACATGTTTTTATTTCCTGGAGTCCGACCAGGAGGCACATGGTGGTGTTGGTTTGTTCAGTTAGGGGAGATGTGTAACACTGGTCAGGTAGTTCAGGATGTGCTCACTAGGTTAATCCACTCTATGGTTTTCCCTTTATAAGGGGATCCACACTTTTCCCTTTATAAGTAAGAGGCAATTTGCTTTGGGGCTTTGTAAGTAACTAGTCTCCATCAAGTTTTCACTACTTGCTTTGGCTTTCATTGATAATTGCTGTCTGAATCAATTATTCCTATGATGCTGTCAAAGTGAAATTCTAGCTCCACCATTCCTTCCACATTTGTCAGCTGAGATTATACTGTAAGGAACAGCAGTCTCTTTCCTCCCATTTGTGTATTAACCTATCCATTTTATTTATTTTTATCAGTGTGAACTCGATTCTAAGTTCATTTCATTTGGTAAGTTTTCAGATCCAACTGTCCTCCCAATTTTTGCAAGTGGGAGCTACTTTTAGCTGGGCCCTGGGTCCTTTTCATGTGCCATCATTTTTTAAGCACTGCCTTGATTTCTTGAACAAGCTGGTTTGTGTTCATCTTGTATTCTTCCTACCCCATGCATGAGATCAGTCATTTCTCCATTTGTCCAACAAGCCCCAGGTCCTTTTAGCGGGGAATGGTGCTTAGAAAGCAAGATCTCAGCTCCAGGTGTGCTCATTGCTATGGAATATCCTTGCTTTTAGGTCCCTTCAGCAGCTAAAACATAAATGTATATACACCCATATACATATCTGAATCTGTTTCTTTCTTTACATAAACATATAGTAAATATATACTGATACCTATCAACACTATAGGGTTCATTTTAATTTCTTTCCTTCCCATAACACCCTTCTCTAACAGTCAGAAACTTGGCTCCCATTATCCATGCATTTACCTACCTACCCAATCCTACAATTCACAGAAAATTACTTCAGAAATGGCATTACCTAATGCCACTGCAAATATACAAGATTAGGATTCAACACTTGTGCACTGTACATTTTAAATTTACACTCAGGGCATAGAGCCAAATACTGTGTTAGAAAGTTACTTGAGTTACTCCCCACCTCTTTGGTGAGGTGATGCCATTCATTTGAAACAGGTGGGTTCATCTGTGAATTATATTCCATTGTGGATCCTCCCCCTTTCATTTTATTTTGAATATATAAAACATTAACATGGTTCCAAGTATAAGAAGTATATCCAGAGAAGTGTCGCTCTTGCCACTTCCTAGCCCTTCCATACTGGTCCGACCCATTTCTTGTAGGTAACACATCTCATTAGTTTCTGGATTATCCTTTTGGTCCTTTTTACCTGCAAAAATAAGCAGGTAACGTGCATTTCCTTATATCCTGGAAATCACTCCATCATTTAAAAAAAAAGGTTCTCATTCTTTTTTCAGCTGCATAGTATTCTTGATTAGATGTACAATTCCATACATTATTCATCCAAATTCCCAGGTATGGGCATTTACACTTGTAATTACAAATCAAGTTGCAATGATTAATTTTGTGAAAATATATTTTTATATTTTGGGGAGATATCCTTAGGGTAGAGTCCTGGAAGGAGGACTGCTGTGTAGTTCTGTTAGATATTGCCACATTCTCCTCCATAAAGGATGCACTACTTTGTGTTCCCACCAGCAATGGATGAGAGTGCCCCTTTCCCTATGTTCTTACTAATAGAGGTAAAAATCAAAGAGCTTCATAACACAATCTGCTACAGAAGAAATGAGCAACTCCAGAGTACCTTTAATCTGTATTCCTCTTATGAAAGAAGTAGAAATACTTCCAGTTAACCATACATATACATATACATCAAGCTTTAGAGATTAGACTTGCATTACTCTGATGCTCCAAAGAACCACCCCCAGCCCCTACCCTGTCACTTTATGCTATATCTCTGGGAAAGTAGAACTGAATTAGCAATACAAAAGTCCTTCTCCATTTCCTATGTACTTACGGTCTATTTCTCCATTTCTTCTCTACCACTTTTCTCTTGCACCATTATAATGTCCTTGACAATCTTTCCCAACTATCTTTTAAGGAGAAAAAATCTGTGAAGGAACCAGTGGGGCCAGATGAAAGGGCATTCTAATCCCCGATTTCTTGCAGGTGACTTCAGAATATAGCACAGGAGTCAGAGATGGGAATGAGAAAGTAGGCAGAAAAACATTAACAATACTGACTGTAGATATGTAGGGTGTAACTAAATAATTCAAATTGGCCTCTGGAAAGTAAGTAAGGCCAGGATTCAAAAAAGTGTGACAAGTACTAGGACCCACCTTGAGTCAGATTAACATTATATGACTTGATCCCAAGCACAGACTAAAGCCTGTACACACTGAAGTTGAGCATTTAGCCTTAAGAAGTGCATCACTAAGTTGTACTTACACCAGTTGAAATAGCTCCAGGTCTCCTGTGAGTTTTCGTTTGACCATGAGTAGCAGGCTGGCCTTTAAATCCCCATCGTTTCATGACACCTTGAAAACCTTTACCAATGCTGAACAAGGTAAACATTAGAATGTACATGATGAACAGAGCATAAAATACCTCCTTACTCACAGTACCTTAGAGTTTTAACAAAGCCCCTTATCTGTAAATGAATATTCCTTTATCTCTGACCTGGTTTACACCCCTTCCCGCAAAAATACCAAAATGCACTGGAGAGCAGCTACAAGCGATTAATTCAAGATTGTGAGACAAGAGAAAGCTAAGTGAAGGGAGTTCAATCTGAGCAGGGAGTTTTATCACCACAATCTTATGAAACAACACAGGAAGAGAGGTAAATTTCTACGAGTTCCAAAGTACTCCCAAGAGATACCTCCTTTTGAGTCTGGATGGACCTAGCAACTCACTTCTAAGGAATAAACTATGGCAAAAATGATGAGATGCCACCTCTTTCTTGACTGGCTTTGAAGAAAGCCAACTGCCATATTGCAAGCTATTCTACAGACAGTCAAGAGGCAAGGATGTGTCCAGCCAACAAGTGTGGACCCCAGGCTTGGCAGAGCCATGTCGGTAAGCTTGGACGCAACTCTCCCACGTTGAACCTTGAGATGACTGCAGTCTCGACTGACGCCGTGGTTGCAGCTTGTGAGATACCCTCAGCCAGAGGAACTCAGCTAATTTCCCTGGGATTCCTGCCCACAGAAACTGAGAGGTAATAAATATTTGTTGCTTTAAGCTGTTATGGTTTGGGGTGTCCAAGTTTTTGCTGTTCTGGGCCACAATGGAAGAGGAGGAGTTGCCTTGGGCCACACATTAAATACACAAACACTAATGAAAACTGATAAGCAAAAAAAAAAAGTTTTAAGTAAATTTATGATTTGATGTTGGGCTACATTCATAGCCATCCTGGGCTGCATGCAGCCACAGGCTGGACACCCCTCGGAGGGTGATGTGTTAGGCAGCACTAGAAAACTAACCCGACAGGACACTAATAAATCAATCATGCCCTAACTGCTGAATGGTTTACTATTAGAAGACACCAGATGGATATCAGTTTCACAGGTTGAAGGGGAAGCTAATGAAAAAATAATATCAGAGAGCAATAATTTCTGGAAGTGTAATATTTCATTTTTTTAAACAAAGCCATTGTACTTTCAAAGTCTTCTAACTAGAGAAACATTCTGCCAGGGAGATGCAAAGTGAACAATACCAAGATTCAAAGCATTATTAAGCCTGTCTGATTGTCAAATGTATCATTACAAATGATACAATGAAAAGAATATAATAAATTTTAAGCTGTACTGGACATATTTTTATAGAGTCTCAAGATGAACATTTTTTCCAACTTTCATTAGTTAATAGGTCAACATATTTTTAATGTTGTGCTTACTAACCCCCTAAGAAAGCTCACTATTATTAAATAGACAGTGAATAGTTCAGACCATTTACAAAAAAGGACCCAAAGCAAAAGATTATGAAAAGCACCTTATTTCCACAAGGACTTTGCTATGCACTTAACAAAGAATTGTCAGAGAATAATGGATTGAAGTAAGCATACATGTATAATAGTTTGTTTTAGATAAATCAAGAATTCAATATAAACACAGTATGAATTATGTATAGAACCTAACAGCTGAACATTATCAAATCACAAGTCAAAAGTTATTTATATATGAATAATTTAAATGTAGCTTACACCACTTTCTTCCTATTAATCAACTGGACAAATTATGTATATATACATAATTATTTTTGCCTCAAAAACTCAAAATAGTGCTTATTCTTGAGACGAGCTAAAATGAAAGTTTAACATATATTAAAGAAAAAATTGTGCCCTGGCTGGCATAGCTCAGTGGATTGAGCTCGGACTGCGAACCAGGCATTGCAGGTTCGATTCCCAGTCAGGGCACATGCTAGGTTGCAGGCCGTGGCTCCCAGCAACCACACATTGATGTTTCTCTCTCTCACTCTCTCTCCCTTTCCTCTCTAAAAATAAATAAATAAAATCTTAAAAAAGAAAAGAAAAAGAAAAAATTGCAAGATTAACATTTAAGAAGAAAAACCATGACAATCAAATATTTAACTGAAATTTTGCTTTAGAAACTTAACAAATATTTCCATTTAACACAGGAGTTGAGAACATATTTGAAAAATAAAAATCTTGGCAATTTAAAAATAAAAAGGCAATACCTAAAGTCATCCAAACCTATGATATTGCTTGGCAAATAACACTTTAAATAAGAAAGGGGAGGGGACGGGCAACACTCAATCTAAAATGAAGATGTTTTAAAAATACCACATTCTAACACTGGCCATTCTTGGTAGAAAGTATACTGGTGCCTTCTGTGTTTTCTGACTGATTCATCTCTTATGTAAAGAGAGCATGACTGTGTCCCAATAACACACATGCCAGGTAAATTACAGAAGACAACTTAGCTCATTCTGAGCGTAAATGATTATAACATGAACATGGTATCCTGAAAGTGCTAATTATGTCAGCTAATTACAGACTGCTTTTAATCTAGCCCTAGAGTACATCATGTTGCTATACTGTGTGCAATGGGAAAGTCTTCAATAAATAACTTCTAAACAAAAGGACAAAACACAAATGACATGACAAATTACTGGCTTAATTCAGATGAAGTGATGGAGAACAGAGTGCACCTGTTGGTCCATGGGTGGTACAGGTGTCTATTCTATTGCTTCTCTTGGTTGTCATCCCACTTGAGAACAAAACACAAGAAATGAACTAATCTACACTTAGCATACCCACGCACATTTCAAATCGGTTTTCACAGGTTCGTTTTATTAGAATGATACACAACACTCAGCACACATGCTTTGCCCCCACCTCCCCCATGCAGGTTTTAGTTAATGACAGAAGAAAAAAATCAAATCAAGGAAAATTCAAATTAGAAAGAACACTATGTTAAAAGTTCCAAATTTAGTGAAACATCTGAAAATTCGAAAACAAAAAGGTGTTTTACCTAGAGCATTTATACTTATTAAAGCAAGAATTCATCAAAAAACTCAGAAAGACCTTTTAAATTTAGGAGACTTCATTGCCCTGTTTCTTGGCCTGTTTCCTTGGTGTACTTTAAATGCATCAATGTATAAATTCTACATGTGTAGAATTACATGTGTAATTCTACAGGAGTATTAATTCTAGTGCCCAACCTAGAGAAGGTAGAGTAATTCCATTACTGGCATTAGCTGTGTCTTAGAAAAAACATAATTGGTTTTCTTAATTTTGCCCTGTAGTTTCCAAATGTTGTATAACAGGCATGCCTTTCATAAAAGTTTAAGCAGATGGTGTTAAAACAAGAGGAGGGACTTAAAAGTATGACTGTAGAATCTTGCAGAAGAGAATGCATAATTTAGTGTTTTCAACTGCATTCTATAAATCTCTAGAGATTGCTGTCGTGTGAAATTCACTCCCTTGCCATATTGTGACAAATGCCCAAATGTCTACCAGCAGACACACAGGTTTTTATACAAACCCATCATTATTTCCCCACTTTGTGGGAAAGTACCTTTGATTTCATGGTTCAGGATATACCTGTACTTGGGGATAAACCAAAATGACCATGAGGTGAGGTATGCTCTCAAATGCCTCCGAGAACATCCTCCACAATTCTCATCACTGAGTCGCCCTTGCCACTGGCTTCCTCTACCTTCTCTTTCCTTTGTAGTCATTCCTCTTCTTCCTCTTTCTCCTTCCTCGGGAAGCAAACTGCTTCTCCCTGTCATCCATTACCTGCAATTGATTTTTCTCTCCAATTGTCTCTGGAACTCCCTCTGTAGCAAACCCCTTAATTGCCATATCCAAAGCCTTTTATTAAAATACCTTTTTATTATGGAAGTTTTAGAACATATTCAAAAGCTGAGCCCTGGCTGTTGTGGCTCAGTGGATTGAATGCTAGCCTGAGAACCAAAGGGTCGCCAGTTTGATTCCCAGTCAGGGCACCCACCTGGGTTGTGGGCCAGGTGCGCAGAAAGGCAACCAAACATTGATGTTTCTCTCCCTGTCTTTCTCTTTCCCTTCCCCTCTCTAAAAATAAATAAAATCTTAAAAAAAAACCCTTAAAAAGAAGAGCAAAAAGACTAGTACAATGAATCTCTATGTATCCACCACCCAGGGTCAAAGAATTTTCAACTCAAAGATCATTTTGTTTCATCTATTTCCCTCTCTTACAACTCCAATGGATTATTTTAAAATAAATTCAATGTATGCATCATTCCATTGATAAATATTTCAATATGGATCTCTAAAAGATAAGGACCCTTTTAAAGAACAAAACCACATTACCATTATCACAATCTAAAAAAATAGTCATTCCTTAATATCAAATATCCAGTGTTCAATTTCCTACGGCTCCTTTTAAAAATAGAAGAACTGTCCTCTATTACTCCTTCTTACTGCCTTCTCCCCACTACCCCAATCATCATCTTCTCCCTGTTTTCCTGCTTCCCTGATGCTCTTTGAGGAGTTCCTTTCCCCTTACAGCTACATGAAAAGATGATCTCACTATAATTTGAACCAGGGCTTGGCAAACTATAGCCTGTATTGGCCACTTATTTTTGTAAATAAAAATTTTATTATAACACAGTCATGCACACTTTTCTACTTACTGCCTATGGCTGCTTTAGAGCTAGAAAGGTAGAGCTGAGTAGTTGCAACAGAGACCATAATGCTCACGAACCTATAGTATTTACTATCTGGCCTTTTGAGAAAAAGTCTGCTGACCCTGAAGCTGGAGTTCCACAAACTTTGCCCTCTGGCAAGAGTTCTGCTAACATGCCATTCTGCAGATGTACAGACCATATGTAACCAGAAGGACCTCAGCAATTCAATCAGTGTTTTAGAAACGGAAACTAAACTTCTCCCTCTCGATTCAACATATCCTCCTCCATGACCACTAGTGTGAAATTCCTATGATAAGCTTATCACACAAGCTGTTTCTTGCTCTAAAAAAAACAAACAGCAATAACAAAAACAAGTAAACAAACTAAACAACCTTAAACCATATATTCCCTAGGAATTTCTTTAGC